ATTTGGCTATTTGGGGTTAATTCCGGATCCGCGTCCAAGAGTAAGTTTATCTTTTTGAGCGCGTAATCTAACATTGGCCCACTGACATAACGAAAAGTGTAGGCATAATTTATTTCGGCCCAACTCAGCTCTGCAAAGGTATCAAGAAAAGAGTTTTGCCAGAATTCCCACGGTCGTGAGATTGTATGTGTCTATAGCGGAGCAGCTGGGTGGACGAAGTGTGGCCTTCGGCAGTCTTCGGGTACGCTCGGAGGCGCCGGCGCAGCTTCGTTTCGAGGCTACTCCCACCTAATAGTGCATTGTTTGCTTCCGCCCGACGCACACTCCGCGCTTGTTCGATTTAATATTTGCCTAGCTAGTACCCCGTGCTATCAGTGATAAAACGTATTTATTTCTGTTTTCGTAATCTTCCTAAACTGTGATCTATTCTAGCTAAACTATTGTGCCTTTCTATGTCTTTTGTGCGTGTCTAAGCTTCTCCTCTCTCTCTGTGGCTAACTGTTATAGTTTGTAATACAAAAGTGGCCGTAAATAAACTATTGTACGTTTGTGTTACAAGTTCGTGTTTAATTTATTTTACCCCGTGGACTTTACGCCTACATTGGTGACCCTCCGACAATGGTTGATGAAAAAGAAGCGCCAGTTGCGTTGGAAACTTCTAGAGTGGGTGTACGTCCACCTCCATTTTGGCCGAATGACCCCGAAATGTGGTTCGCCCAAATGGAGTGTCAATTTGCAATAGCGAATATAACGGTTGATTCGACAAAATTTCAGCATATCGTTTGCGCGTTGGAACCGCGTTATGCAATGGAGGTAAAAGACGTGATAACAAAACCACCGGCGGTAGACAAATATGGAAAATTAAAAGCGGAGCTTATCAAGCGGTTATCAGCGTCGCGTGAGCGTAAGGTACAACAATTGTTGAGGTATGAGGAATTAGGTGATAGAAAGCCTTCACAATTTCTACGGCACCTGCAAAACCTGGCAGGCCCATCCATGCCTGACGATTTTTTGAAGACCTTATGGTCTAGTCGGCTTCCTAATAATTTGCAAACAGTTTTAGCGTCGCAGCCCGAGCTTTCGTTGGATAAATTGGCGGAATTAGCGGACACTGTGCACGACATTGCACCCGCTGGACCCCAGCAGGTGGCGAGCGCTTCAGCAATGGGACAGCCGTCACTCGTACAGGAGATGGCCATACAGATAAGTGAACTTAGTAAGCAAGTGGCGTTACTCACCACTCGGTTGGACGCACAACATCAGGTACGTAACCGTTCACATACCCGTACTGGGTCAAGGAACTTCAAAGGTTCCAGATCTCGTTCACGGCCTCGACAGCCACCCCCTGATTACCCACACTGTTACTATCACTACACGTATGGAGCTAAAGCCCGCAAATGTGTACAACCGTGTGAATGGCGAGCGGAAAACTCAAGGGGCAGCCGGAATTAGCGGCGGCTGACTGCCCAAATGGTACAGGCCGACTGTTTATACCTGAGAGACGATCAAAAATGCTTTTTCTTGTCGATACCGGCTCAGATCTATGTGTGTTTCCTCGATCAGCAGTTAAGACCCCTTGTTATAAGACTAAATATGGGTTGACAGCTGCGAATGGTACTATTATACATACCTATGGTCCCATTCAATTGAATCTAGACCTAGGGCTTCGCCGCAACTACGAATGGAAGTTCACGATCGCTGACGTATCGAAACCAATCATAGGTGTTGACTTTTTGAGTTTTTATAATTTGTTAATCGACTGTCGTAATCACAGGCTTACTGGTGGTACCACGTCACTCACCGTGTCAGGAGCACCACAACGAGTTCCAGATGACGTAGCATCTATAAAGACTGTAACCGGGACTACAGAGTTTCACCAGCTGCCGCGAGAGTTTCCGGAGTTGACCCGTCCTGCAGGTACCATTTCTAAAGGTAAACCAATTAAGCACTCAACTGTACACTATATTAAGACTACACCTGGACCAGCAGTAGCCTGTAGACCGAGACGTTTGGATCCAGAGCGCTTTAGGATCGCTAAGAAAGAGTTTGACGAGATGGTTGCCAACGGTACTGCTAGGAGATCAGAGAGTCCTTGGTCGTCGGCTCTGCACCTGGTCAAGAAGAAGGATGAATGATGGCGACCATGCGGTGACTACCGTGCACTCAACGCGCGTACTATACCTGACAGGTACCCAGTTCGCCACATTCAGGACTTTGCACAGCAGCTTCAGGGGTGCACCGTATTCTCCAAGATTGACCTGGTAAAGGCTTATAATCAGCTACCAGTTTATCCACCTGATATACCCAAAACTGAAACTGAAAACTGCGATAAATTCATAAATTTGAACTCAAATAATCCGAACGGGGTGTTCGGATTATTTGAGTTCAAATTTATGAATTTTGGTTTGCGCAACGCTGCAAGTACTTTTCAGAGGTTTATAGATGAAGTGCTTACAGGTCTAGACTTCTGCTACGGGTATATCGACGATTTGCTGGTCTTTTCTCCACCTGGATTTCACGAGGTTCACCTAAGGACAGTACTAACACGCTTGGCTGACTATGGTGTGTTAATCAACGCAAGCAAATGCGTTTGGGGACAGTCACAGGTAACTTTTCTTGGTTATCAAGTTTCTGCTGCTGGCCTTAGGCCCATGGACACCAAAGTCCAGGCCATCCAGGAGTTCCCTGTACCCAGGACTGTAAAGGAATTGCGGAGGTTCCTCGGCATGCTGAACTTCTATCGAAGGTTTATACCCGGTGCTGCTAAAGTTCAAGCACCGCTGCACGCCTTACTGGCAGGTGGTACCGTCAAGGGATCAGCTCCAGTACACATGACGCAACAGGAATTAGCTGCTTTCAATAAATGTAAAAGAGAGCTATCTCACGCCACTCTTCTGGTACATCCTCTACCTCACGCTGAGCTCTCCATTCTAACCGATGCTTCCGACGTATCCATTGGTGCTGTGCTTCAGCAGCGTAACGGTAAGGAGGGGCAACCCCTTGCTTTCTTCTCCAAAAAGTTAAACGGGGCTCAAAAAAAATATAGCCCTTACGATAGGGAGCTACTAGCTATATACGAAGCTATCAAATATTTTAAACACATGATCGAAGCAAGGCATTTTGTTGTATTTACCGATCATCGACCTCTTACCTACGCCTATAAAACACCAAGGGAAAACTGTGCCCCTCGACAATTCCGGTATTTCGACTATATTGCGCAGTTTACTACGGATTTAAGGTATATACCTGGAACAGAAAATATCGTCGCCGACAGTTTATCCCGTGTAGAAGAGATTACTAAAGCTATTGATTTCACTATACTCGCCAAGGCCTAAGAAACGGACACAGAGCTTCAAGCGCTTCTCTTACAAGGTTCATCGCTTAAGCTAAAACCTATTACGCCGGCAGGCTCAGACACCAAAGTATACTGCGACGTCTCAACACAGCCGCCGAGGCCTTATGTAACACCTGCTTTACGTAGACAAGTGTTCGATGCACTGCACGGTCTGAGTCATCCCGGACGTACCGCTACCGTGCGACTGGTCACACAAAGATTTGTGTGGCCAGGGATCCGCAAGGACTGTAGAGAGTGGTCAAGACGCTGCCTTGACTGCCAGCGCAGCAAAGTCACCCGTCACACTTCTACTCCACTTTCCTCTTTCCCTATCACCTCGTCGAGATTTGCCCACATCCATCTCGACATCGTAAGGCCACTAACTCCTTCTGCTGATTTCAGGTACTGTCTCACTATCATTGACAGGTTCACACGGTGGTGTGAGGCGATCCCGATGAAGGATATGACTGCTGACACCTGCGCGGCTGCTTTAATATCTGGTTGGATAGCAAGGTTTGGCTGCCCAACACGAATTACTACGGACCGAGGTCGTCAGTTCGAGTCCGGCCTGTTCAAGACCATTACATCCCTAGTCGGCGCGCATCACTTTCGCACTACGGCTTACCACCCTTCGGGCAACGGGATGGTAGAACGTACACATCGCCAAATCAAAGCGGCTATCATGTGCCACAACACTACCCAATGGACGGAGGTCTTACCACTGGTCCTTTTGGGGATGCGCAGTGCTTGGAAGGAAGACGTGCAAGCTTCTGCGGCCGAGTTGGTCTACGGCGAGCCATTACGCTTGCCGAGCCAATTCCTCTCACCAACCGATGACCATAAGCTTGAAGACATCACCAGCTTCGCCACCCGCCTCGCTAAACACATGGCTGACCTTGCACCCAAACATGCATCCTGGCACAGTAGAGGAACCTTCTACATACCGAAGGATCTGCAACATACGTCCCATGTATTTGTAAGGTAAGATCGAGTTCGGAAGACTTTGGAGCCGCCGTATACAGGTCCGCATAAGGTACTGCGCCGAGGTCCGAAATTTTTTAACGTAGCATTGCATGGTAAGGAGGACAATATTTCGGTGGACCGATTAAAACCCGCTTTCACAGCTCAGGACCTCACTCCACCTGCCGTAACGATGCCGCCTACGTCCCCTGCCGTAGCGATGCCGCTTACGTCCCCTGCCGTCAGTAAAGAGAAATACACAAAAAGCGGTAGAAAAGTCCGTTTTACTGATTTTTACCGACCGTAGGAACGGTCTCGGGGGGGAGTACTATAGCGGAGCAGCTGGGTGGACGAAGTGTGGCCTTCGGCAGTCTTCGGGTCCGCTCGGAGGCGCCGACGCAGCTTCGTTTCGAGGCTACTCCCACCTAATAGTGCATTGTTTGCTTCCGCCCAACGCACACTCCGCGCTTGTTCGATTTAATATTTGCCTAGCTAGTACCCCGTGCTATCAGTGATAAAACGTATTTATTTCTGTTTTCGTAATCTTCCTAAACTGTGATCTATTCTAGCTAAACTATTGTGCCTTTCTATGTCTTTTGTGCGTGTCTAAGCTTCTCCTCTCTCTGTGGCTAACTGTTATAGTTTGTAATACAAAAGTGGCCGTAAATAAACTATTGTACGTTTGTGTTACAAGTTCGTGTTTAATTTATTTTACCCCGTGGACTTTACGCCTACATGTCTTTAGAAAGGCAAGAAACCAATCAAGGGCTGGTCCTTCTAAAAAACGTCTTAACACTTCTGGAAAACGTGTGTTTTCAATTTTTAAACGGTTGCATTCTTGTACAAAAAGGTTTAGGAATACCTTCGCGTTTTGATTTTTTCCTGAAAACTTATCTAGAATCATATCTTTTACCACTGAATGTATGGATTTGTTTTCGACAGGTTCGGATTGGGAAAATTTTGGTAATGCGGGGTTAGGATTGACAGGGGCCTCGTCCAGATATATCCCGTCGAAGCATACGTTGCCCTCCTCGTCTAGGTACTGATCCTTCAGCTCATCCGCCAGCGATACCCATATATTCCGGAATTTTCCACGGGTCTTCATGCTCTTGACTACATTCTTTACAACACTCGTGTCGAATAATTTCGGGTGATCCTCCTTACGCTGATACTCCTTAGGGAATTGAAATATAGTATCCTCACCTTGTAATTGTATGGTAAGCACTTTCACGATCGTAGTTTTTGCGTCCAGGGAATCCGAAACGAAGTGAAATTTCGCCCGTAGTGACGTCATGATATGTTGTTGATTTGTAAGTCGGAAATCACGACTTTTTTTCCTTTAGGTGGGATATGGCAATAAGTACGGCTTTTGATGAGTTTTTGAGTAATAACTGAAAGTTTAATCACAAAACACATTAGTACTTATGAATAATACACGTTACATACAGGAGACATATGTTTACAAAGACGATGTAATGCTAAATACCTGAATCAACAACAAGTACAATCACTATTTGTTTACACAATGTCAAAGGCGCGAGCTATGAGGTTATAATCTTATAGTACATATCGTGCGTCCTGTCGGCTCGGCAGCGCCGCTCGCACTGTCTTCCCGCTGCCCTCCGATATCACGATGCCGGCGCGTGCGCTGCGCTGGTTTGACTCAAGTCAAACCTACAAATATTAAATGATTTTTGACACTCTTTATCCCAATTAAAAGTTACATTCTTACGACACAAGTTATTTAAGGGTATACATATTTTGGCAATATTTGGAATAAACTTTCTGTTATAATTGGAAAAAGCTACAAATCGTTTTAGTTCATCTGCATTTTTAGGAACTGGATAATTATTTAAAACTTTATTTTTTTCTGGATCAGGTTTAATGCCGTCCGCAGATACTACATGTCCTAAATATAATATTTCTTTCCTAAGAAAATCGCACTTCTCAGGATTTAATTTTAAATTTACCTTCCTTAACCTTGTTAAAATATCTAATAAGTTTTTATTGTGAATATCTAAATTTCGACCAAAACAAATCAAATTATCCAAATATACGAAACATTGTAGTCTGTGACCCCCGCGGTGACCGGCCGTGCTGGGGGACGTTGAGAGGTCGCTGCTAAAAGTCATTCATTGGCAGATCAGGAGCTGTCTGATTTCTGACGTAAAGGAGAACTAGGCATTATGCTCACATCTTTGTTTTTAATTAGATATTGGTCCATTCTATTTTTCTTGATGGGGTTCTTTGCGGTAAATAGATTCCTTCCATTCAACAGCAATTTTGCAGGGCTAGCCATTCCTCCCAGTATCCCTCTGTTTTCAGAGGGGACAGGGGAGGGACGTTGTGATCCGTTAGGGATCAAGGGACGGGTCGACCCACTGCTCGCTCAGGGGCAGACGGGCACTAGTGCCACCGTCGGACCTCGGAGGACGTGGGGCTTGCCTTAATTGGCCGGCCCGCGTCAAGGAAAAGACTTTAAAACCCGACAGCTAAGTCGCTTAAAACCTATGGATACCAGGGGACCTCCATAGTATTTATTTCTTAATTTTTTCACTCACTGGTTGACTCACTGACCGATCATCTAAACTCAAAGGCACTTCTAGCGGACATAGAAGCTTAAATTTAAAATAAAATTAGTGTTTAGCGTATAAATCAAGGAAAAACTAAAATATTTTGTAATTTCGGACCAGTTTTCTAGATACACCAACTGCATAAATAACTTTCTACGAGGGTGGTCTGAAAAGTTTCCGACCTAACAAAGATACAAGACCTTTTTTCAGTTTTTTTTTCAACATAGTCTCCTAGTAACTCTACACCATTCTCCCAGCGATACTCCCATCCCTGTAACCCGTCCAAATAGTACTCGGCATTTTTCTCTGCAAAATTGTTCACGAATTTGATTGCCTCTACATTAAACGAAAATCTCTACCCTCCGAGCGCAATTTTTAGCTTGGGTCTAGATCTGGTGAGTAAGGCGGATGGTCAAGCAGTTCAAACCGTAATTCGTGGATTTTCGCCATGGCAACCGCTGAGGTGTAAGACGGTGCGTTGTCTTGGTGAAACAAGATTTTCTTTTTCTGCAATTATTAATCGGTGCCTAAACTCGGATTTATTGCGCCAACAGAGCGTAGGAAATGTTCATTCGAACACTTTTTTAGTCTAACGTTAGTAAACGCGACACCCAACGCGCGGACAGCCGTTGTCAAATGTTTCATGTCTAAATGTTGATTTAATATATGACAAACACGTTTTTTGACATGTTCATAACCTCTGCTATCTCTCTCACTTTAGTTCTGTGTACCTGTATATGTATAATATAATGGAATAATAATATGGTGCAGATCTGCCACGATTCCGCGGCTTCCACGATTCCCGTCCGTCACAGTAAGGCGGCTTCTTTCTTCCAGGCAACCTTTGGGTCTTACTGCGATATCGCAGGTATACACACAAAAACGTTTTATTTATCTTACGCACATTGTATTAGTCAGTATGAGTTTAAAAATGTAAATAATCTCTATATGTATTTAATTCTATAGATAAATAATGGGTTAAGTAATTTATTCATTTAAAAACTTTGAGTGCGGCAGTGAGTGCCGTACATTAGTTCAAGTTAATCCTCTGTTAAGCTTGATATTGTAATTTTCTGTTAGGTACATTGACAGTATTTATAGTGAATGCAGCGGCAGCCGCGCTCATACGCGCGAGCGTCCTGTCGCTGTTCGGATGTGCCTAGAAATCTCACCTATAAGTTTGCGATTTTCGTTCATAATACCGATTGCTATATTAGATTGACGGCTGCAAGGCTCACTCATTGGTTTACTGATATTATTTGCTTACAATTTAGACTTGGATTTTGAAAACAAAACTTGTAAAAAAAACCAAGTCTCGCAAGTCAGTTCTTCTACCGTAAAAAGTTGTGAGATCCATGTAATACCAAGTCGGTTACTTTATTAAGTCCCTACTTAAGGGACCTTCTGTCTTAAGTTAAGTTATAACGTAATTAGCTAAACCTAACAACATCATATAGTGACCAAATCAATATTAAAAATCTTTTATGTTTTAAATATAATACATTGATTTGGCAATCATATCATATCATAATCACGTATACAGGTTCATTAACTGCAAATGTAACTTATAATCCTATACATTTATATGGGATTACAAACTTATTTATGCCGTTGGTGTATCTATAAAACTAGACCGAAATAACAAAATATTTCAGTTTTTCCTTGAATTATAAGCTAAACACGTTCGGAGCTTCTATGTCTGCTAGAAGTGCCTTAGAGTTTGATGATCGGTCAATCAGTCAGTGAGTGACAAAATTAAGAAATTTTGACTAGTTATAATTCTTAAACTATTGCTCATCATATCACCATATCATATTGAATGAAATTTGAAATGTACCGTGTTTATACAATGCCGACTTGGTTACTGAAAATTAAGGCTTCTAATTTTATCCACAACGAAGTTATAGGGGGTCGAAAATGGCTTGAACTGCTTCGAGAAAAGGATGGTACAGCCGTGCCGCTTTTTTGCTCGACTTGGCGGAGCACTGCCGTGCCCACAGATATAATGTGTGCGTTGCCCCAGCGGAATAAGTTCGAATTTCATTATTTTAGTTTAACAGAGATTTAGTGTATGACGTCGTGTAATTGTGTATGGTAAGTAAAAATTTGTGCATCCAACCATTGGGGAGTTATTCACGAAAAACTGTTTCCACATTGTCCCAGCGGCTCTTTTTTTGTGAAAAAAAAAATGGTAATAAAAATTAGTGTATGACGTGAGGTAATTGTGTATGTCTCAATGAGATTTGTGTGTCAATTAACTGCGAAGATATTCAGGTTTCCGCTGCGACAACGTTTGGCCATTTGCTAGATTTCATATAAAATGCTTTTCTAAAGAGGTGTAGATTTTTCATACGTTGTCTTGAATTTGTTTATACTGTTTGTAAAAAAAGATTAAAAAAAAACATACCAGTCAGAAGATATAAACGTAAAATAAGGTTACTAGGTCCTAGTACTTAATGTTTATGCACTAGGACCTAGTTTATAACGTTTATGTTGGCTACGTGTTACGCTGACGGCTGTGTGCTATCCTGATTGTGATGTTATGATAATGTAATATGTCGTAGGTACATTATATATTTTTTCTGAGATATAATTATGGTCTACCTATCTATGCAATGAATTGCATCATAAAGGACAATGGCAGGTCCCCATACATCATTTTATTTGAAGTGGAATGACAGCGTTTAAATATCAAAAATGCCTATAACCCTTGAGAATTTATTCTTGAACATTCTCATAAAAAAATTACTAGCGAAAGAAGTCTAGGAAAAAAGATATTGGATTTTGAATGTTTCGAGGTTAAGTACTAAAATATTGTCAATGTTTTGTTTGAAACTAGATGGCGTTGTGTGTCATATATTCGAAAATATTATTAATCATTATTATTACTCATAAGCAACCCTATTTTGCTGTAGAAACTGTTAGCCGACTCTCTAAAAGAGTATTTGCTTGGCACGTATTGGTAAACAATAGAAAACAATCTTCGCTTTCCAAGCAGGTGTAATACTAGCTATGTATAAATTAATTATTAATAATAATTTGAATAAATGTACGTCAATACACATTTACACAAGGCGGAAGCATTTATTTATTTATTCGACAGCCAGTAGTTGTGACATTATTTACTAAAATCTAAAGCATGCATCCATTCTATTGAGATTAATGCACAACATTTTAAGGCATCACATCATGCATAATGGAGTAACACTATATAAAATTAAAATAAACATATATGAGAGTTTAATATCTACTAAACAAAAATAAAACAACCAAACAAACTACAATTGCCTTGTGAGAAATGGAATGTAAGTCATGCGAGTATATAAGTGTCAAACGACAAGACTAGTAGTGCGACGACGACATATCCACATTTTAAAAATATCGATGTATGTGTATTTATGTGCTGTTATCAACCTTTCTATGTCTTTTTCTCATCACACTAAGCAGTATATTGTTTTAATATTTTTCCGTAGGAAAATAACGTAACTATTTATTTTGGTGTGGCAAAAATCTTTTAAAAAGAGTCAAAAATATTCTAAATTATTTCTAATTAGGTTGATTTAGTCACTACGGTACTAGTTACGGTAGCGTACGAGTGAACCCGTGGGCAGAAGCAAATTCATATTCATAATAGGTGAACCTTCGATAGATATTTAAGTCAAAGTTATAACAATCGATTATCGATAAAACGTTCCATAATATAATAATGTCATTACGCATCCCTAGTCAGTTATACATGATGGCGATTCTGACATTACGTACTTAGGTCAAATAAAATCTTTAAAAATATCCAATCTCTTATAAGACTTATACAACACATGGTATACCGCCATCATAAATCATAGAAAAAACCCCTTGGAAAATGGCGGTTGTAGATCGGCACAGGCATATGAGATTTTCGTTACGTAAATATTTAGTTTGCTAAATATTTGACAAAACAGAGATTGTTGCTATTGTGTGTATTAATCTATGACTTTGGAGTCTACACAAGAGATGATTTCAATTTTTTTTTTTTTAAATACAAGATATTTGAGTTTGAGTTAATCCAAGAGGTACCGTTTGACAGTTCTGACAGATTGAAGTATAGCGAAGGGGTCAAAGAAATCGATGACTAGAATATCCGATTCTAAAGAGAATTCGATATAATTTCTTAGTATGTACTAAACGATTACAGTTTTATAGATTTTTGTATGTTACTATAAAAGTCCGTGTAATTGTATATAATAGGTTGTACTAGTAAATCTTAGTAAACACTAGACTTGGACACGAGTGATTTTTGCCTACCAATATTAATTTAAAATTACATTAACTTACATTCTTTTAATTTTAATTATGCGTTGTCATTGACAGTTGGCTGTCACATTAATTAATTAATTGAAAATGAATCGTTATTAATAAATTCGATTTTTCGAACATTATACTCAATACTCAATACTTTATTGCTACCATAATGTAAATTATACAGTTGGTAAAAACTTAAGCTAGGTATCAATTATGGACCCTGTCGGGCACAGCATAGAAGAGAGAGAGAGAGGGGAATGATTATTACTACATTTATTTATAATATATTATTTATATATATTTAATCTGTATAGTCATTATTTTATTTTTATTTAAATATTTAATAATTATTTATTGCACTAAGTTTGTATTATTTGTTATAAAGGTTATAAGTATTATTGTGATTTATTTTGTTAATTGTTGCAATTGGTTTTGGTCAGGCTTGACTAAAACCAATTACAACAATTAAATGCTTAAATTAAATTAAACTAATGTTTTATAATGTTGTTAAATGCATTGTCACGAATTGTTTATTTCATCCATATATTCTTTTACACTGTAATAGCTTTTTCGCAAGAGGAATTGTTTTAACTTATTAATGAAAATGTTATTTTTTTCTTCGTTCTTAATCTTTTCTGGTAGTTTATTTTAATTTTTTATAGACATAACTAAGGGGCATTTAGAATGCATAGTTAGTTGGGAAGTTGGGAGGTTAAGTCTATTTTTATGTCTTAGTGTGAATTTGATTTTTTTGTCTTCTCTTTTACTATAGTATTCCGGGTGTTTTCGAACAAATTTACTAATTTCCAGAATATAAATACATGGAAGAGTTAGGATTTTGAGGTTCTGGAAATGGGGTTTGCAGGACTCTGTTTCTTTTATATTAGTCAGAATTCTGATTATTTTTTTTTGTACTATTTCCCCAAAGAATTATGCCATAGCTGAAGCAAGAATAAGCGTATGCGTAGTATGTGACAAGAGCAGTAGAAAGGTCTGTCGTCTTCTTAATTTCGCATAAAGCGTATGAAAATGTTGCTATTTTTGATCGAATTTTTTTTATGTGAGCTTTCCAGGTAATATGAGTATCTATAATTATGCCCAACAAGTTAAATTCCTTAACGACTTGCAGCTGAAGCCCTTCAAAGTTAAAATTTATATTTAATGGTTTCTTTTGGTATGGATGGAAAGGTATTATTTTGGTTTTAGAGAAATTTATTTCTAAGTTGTGTTCTGTCATCCAATCTGTTGTTTTAGTGAGTATTGAGTTTATGTTGTCATTAAGATTTGCATTGGCGTTAGAAGAAACTAATATGGAGATATCGTCTGCGAACATGACACATGGTTCCTTTATGTACTTTGGTAGGTCGTTGATGTAGATAAGGAATAGCAAGCACCCTATCACACTGCCCTGAGGAATTGAGGCGTTTATGTCTATTGGACTTGAATGAATTCTTTCTATTTCTTTTTTATTTTGGTTAAAGTATTCTAACTCTACCAGCTGTTGTCGATCTGTTAAGTATGAGGTGAGCCAGTCATGAGCTTTTCCACGTATACCTATATTGTATAATTTATTTAATAAAATTTTGAACTGCACCTTGTCATAGGCCTTGGTCATGTCAAGTAAAATACCTATAGCATATTGTTTTTTGTTTATGGCATTGAGGGCTTTTTAGATATATCTATAGACAGCCAATGTTGTTGACTTATTTTTACGAAAGCCGTTTTGGCACTCGTCAAGTATATTATATTTTTCACAGAAAGAATATATTCTATTGGTCATGGTCTTTTCAAAAATCTTTGAAGCAGTAGGTAAAATGGCTATTGGGCGATAGTTATTAGGGTCTGTTTTTGCTTTCTTTTTATGGATTTTCATTTCATTAACCACGTGACTTTGAAACTAAGTTTGAATTTTTTTACTCTATTGTGTATTAATTGGTTATTTTGTTTTATTTCAAAGATTAAAATTAAAATTTAGTCATTTAGAATTGTATATCTTGCAACAAAATAAAAATAGTTTCAAAATTCCATGGTTTTAAATTAATAGGTCATTGAAATTGTGTGAGTTCCTCCTATACAAAGTTGTTTCGTCTTGAAAAGTATAAAACATGAAACGGTACCTCTTAGATTAGATGGACTATAGACGAGAACATGTCACCATTATTATTTATTATATTTGACTTTTAAAATATAGAATGATTACGATGAAAGGCACCAACATCTAACCGGTGTGTTATAGTCAAAGGACTACTGCTATGGAGTTATTTTTAGGTGGTTTTACTATCCGGCTAGTTCTGTCTATTTCTCACAACTGGGCCTAACAAAAACCTAGGTTTTTGTTTATTGCTCGTTATTTCATTCGCATAAATTGTTCATCTGTTACGGTAATAGATAAAGTAAGTTACTTCATTAAAATGCAAATATAAGAATTTAGACTTTGGCAACACTGACGTGCACTGACTCTATGACAAGTATGACAACTGTCAACATCATACTGTCAAACTCAAATTCCACGGTTTTTAGAATGTCACTGGCACGTTGTATTAAAGGCGCAGTCGTAGTAGTTCCGGTTTGTTTATCGACGTTGAGACGTTCGTGTGTCGCGAGCAATAGTTGTTACTTGCGGAAACATTCCAGTCGTGCAGTGAACGCAGCAGCGCCGTTTGACAAGAGGAACAAGATGTACATAGCTGAAGAAAGAGGATCGGCTTACGCTCCCGATTACCGGGTTTACTTCAGTGAGTATACACGGGCACGAGCTGCGCTCCGGTGTCCAGTCTAGTACTTGGCCTCCGCATTTGCTTGTTATAATCTGTAGGACTTTGACCATTTTATATCACAGTGACGTGTCTTACCTCTAGATATACATATATATTAGGCTCCCGTTTAACCTATTCACCATGACCTTCCACTGTGTCGTTTGTGTTATCTGAACTGGGAAGTTTCAGTTTTAAACTTGATTAGATTTAACATTGATAACATTCCTAAAGTTGTGCCTTTCACTTGCGTCCTTTCTTGATCAAGTGCACTGTTATCTATATCTTTACAATATTTATCTATATACATATAAAACTCTTTAATTGAGTATTATAACAAATAACACTGCAATCTCTTTTTTTGCTCATAGTGATTGTTTTCAAATTACTTTATGTGTATGTTATGCAAGATGCTATGCCATGGTAAAGATTTCAAGATCAGGGCTATTCAGTTTGTATGTTATCTTGTGGAACATCGGAATGACAGTAGTTATTCCTATCAGAGTACACAATCTTTTACATAGTTATAGTTATTTAATTAAATTGTCGATTTAAAGAGCTGTGTTAACTTTGATAATTGCCTGTGGTAATAACTATGAAATTGATTAATAATTTTTAATGAGAGTCCACTTTTAAACTTTTTGCTTTTTTTATTATCAAAAAATATCCATTGATTCAAGGTTCTGTTGATTTCCATCTACAAAAAAGGCATGAAGAGCTCATTTGCATGGTCATTGTTAACTTTTCTCACATCATCAATGAATAGATTGCTGTGGGAACAGATCTCTATTAAGAAACTGTTACTTGATGTATTTAAACACCTAACAATTCAATTCACAAAACAATTGCAAGAAATATAATAAAGATGCAAGACAACTAGAAATATCCCAAATCTCTAAATGTAGTCAGCAGTGTGTTACTGATAGAACACTGACCGTTAGTCTCATCATACAATTATTTAATGTTTCATCTTGCTGCCCTAAGCTGTATGAGTGATGACATAGATAAAGAAGGCTCAAATGTACTGTTGCACACTAGGTATGTGTGAGTAAACATAGTTTACATCTAGCATTACTGATTGATTTCACTATGTAAGTACTGTTCAGTATATTATTGAATCTGTAGCAATTTATACTGTATACGAAATGATGAAGAATTTCCAAGTCCTCCGGTCCGTTCTATCCAACCAATTTGCTTTATTTTTTAAATGATAGCTATTGAAATTTCTGTGTACAACTATTTGTAATTGAATTATGTTGTTAGTTTTGGTCAAAGAACACTATGAAAACATGCTGATGTATTTAAGCTTTTGCCCAATTGAAGTGGTTATAGTCAACACAATGTATATACACAACACAATGTACTAACTCAATATCTTCAGATTTATTTGTTTGAGATTTAATCTATACCTACACAATGTAATAAAAATCAAATTTATTTCCACATATCATAATTTCAGACCTTCTTCAAAATCTTAATCTTAAAATCACTTTAAAGTTAAGGTAATTTTATTAAAATTATTTTACAAGTATTAAAATTTTTGCAAATTATATTCAGATACAATTATTAATGAAGTATACTAATAAACATTCTTTATTAGAACTTTAAGCAGTAGAACCTTTGTAAGCCGAACTTCAAGGGAGATCCAAATAATTAATAGAGTTTTAGACTTACGACTTAGGCAGATTTTGTAAGGAAATATTCGACTTGTAAAGGTTAGCTCCTTTAGTTTCGTTAGTTAGTTCCTTTCGGGAGCACAAATGGGACATAGGGGTTCCCACACAGGAGGGGGTCATTTACACGCCGTAGATGGCCCGAGGTACATCGGGGTATCAGGGATTTCCTTCCTAGGGTACCCCTGTTTCCCTTCAACTGGTACCCGAGACCGCGTGCTGTTTTTAGTCGGTTCGAGTCCGGCATAACCACCGGAGGGTGGTATCCGAGGGGTTTTCCTCACAGAAAAAAAGAGATATTAAATACTGTTACAAATAGTTTTGACCGGTTAAGAGTTCTGACTGATGCAAATAAAATATGCAGTACTATATGCTTAGTGACAATACAGTTGATGTGTATCTCTAAGTACCTGTTCACTTGAAGTAGATGACATAAGACCTAGATAAATAATTTCAATTGATGATAAAATTAAATAAATATGCAGTTTAAGTGCTCCTTCCCTTGATTAAAAGTTTTATTTAAAATAGTGAGCATAGTAACTGAAGGTATTGTAATTAGGCATAGTAGAGAATCAAGAATGCTAATTCTTGATTTCTCTACTATGACTAACTGTTACTCATTTGAACAAAATTGACTTGACCAATAACATATAAATATACAATATAACATATATATAAAATATCAAATGTTTTACGAAAATTGAATAACCGACTAAAGAGGACTGCTAAAATAAATTTAAACAAGTATTTATTTAACTAATAAATAATTTATGCAACTCAGTAACAAAAAAGTATGTATATGTTAAATATTACATTAACTTTCATTTAACTTTAGTAGTTTTTCTTTCCTTCAGAGAATGTCATTTTTTGTTATTGACGTTGTTTCAGGGGCTGTTTAAACGCTGTTATGATTTGATAATTATTTAATAGATAAACAATGTGTATATGTTACAGAGGATGAGAGTGGTCCTATCTCGCCGTTGCACGATATCCCTCTCTGGGCCGATAAGGCTCGGCGGCTTGTGAACATGGTAGTGGAGGTTCCGCGCTGGTCCAACGCCAAAATGGAGATCAGTCTGGGTGAGCCCCTCAACCCTATCAAACAGGACGTAAAGAAGGGCGCTCTCCGCTTCGTCAGCAACGTGTTTCCGCATCATGGCTACATTTGGAATTACGGCGCGCTCCCTCAAACCTGGGAGAACCCGCATCACATTGACCCCGGCACGCAGGCGCGCGGTGACAATGACCCCATCGACGTCATTGAGATCGGAGAGCGTGTGGCTTCACGCGGAGACGTGTATCCTGTGAAGATACTTGGCACGCTTGCACTCATCGACGAGGGCGAGACCGACTGGAAGCTTATCGCTATAGATTCGAGGGATCCCGTTGCCGAAAAACTCAATGACGTGGGTGATGTGGAAGTCCACTTTCCAGGACTACTACGGGCTACGGTTGAGTGGTTCCGACTGTACAAGGTGCCTGATGGCAAACCTGTCAACCGCTTCGCTTTTGACGGTGAGGCGAAGGATGCCGAATTTGCGTATAAAATTATTGACGAGGTGAGACTTTGTTTTACGTTTGATAGTCACCCTAAAACACTACACATACACTACTACATAAATAGTTAGCCAGGTGACGCTGTGAGGGCACCTCGTTATTCAACTAAAAGAGCAGCTGAGAGTTTTCTGCTGGTAACGTTGATCTTGTTTATTGTTGAATCGTTTGCAAATAGTTGATTAAAAACAAAGTTGTCTGATAAAGTAATTGCATACGTCATCATCAGCCTTTAATAGTCCACTGCTGGATAGGCCTCTCTGTAGAAAGGAGGTTTTGACCTACTATACCACGCTGGTCAGACGAGTCGGTATGAGGTTTGTGTTAAGTTTTCCTTCTCTGCAGTGCTGTTGCCTTGCGTAGTTTGCTCCCTTATTCGGCTATTACGACACTTACCACATGAATAGGGGTGGTGACACTCCGTATTCCTGAGCCGTCACCACACGGACTGCATACAATATTATATTATATTGCACACTTTGGCGGATTTGTCGCATATTGGCCGCGTTAGGCCCCAAGTCATTAGCCGCTCCTTTCGCAGCACCCATCATATAGACTACATAATGAATTTACTTTATTGCCAAATTTTATCGAAACCAGTTTCAGCTATAATATCGCATATAAATAAAGAATTATCATAAGATTGCCTCCGGAAGATTAAAACGTCAATTTCGAATCTAGGGAATATAAGAAGTGCGCTCGCTTGCAGGTGCACGAGTTCTGGCGCTCGCTGGTCTCGGGCGACGCGTCGGGGGACGGCGCCGACGCCAACGACATCAACAAGTGAGTACAACGGCAGGCGGAGGAGCGGCCGCGCACCCGCAGGCGTGTAGGTACTGACGCGTGTTGTGTCCGCAGGATGAACGTGACGGTGCAGAGCAGCGCCGCGCGAGTGGAGCGCGCGGCGGCCGGCGCCGTCCTGTCGCGCGCCCCCCCCCGCGGCCTGCCCCGCGCGCTGCCGCCCGCCGGTACGACGCCAACATTATCACTTTATGGATTTAATATCGATTTGCAGACGCGATTGTGGACAGAGTGAACGTCGTTGTCGTAGCAGAACGCGCCACCCGGACCGGCACCGCCTCGCCTCGAGCGGTCAGTGTTCTTTGTATGGAGTGCGATAGGTAAACGCTCAGTACGTCGACTCCGGACTCGCCTGCGCTCTGTTGTATCGTTTTCCGGTTAACGAGGCGACGTCCACCAGTGGACCACTCGCCGATAATGAGTGAACTCCGAATCGAGGCGGTGCCGTTCGGGTGTCGGGTGTGATGAGCTCCGACCTTAAATCTGTGCGATCCGCCTGGGTCGCCTTCCGTGACACGCGATAGAAGTCGAACGAGTAGCACGCGCTCGACTTCTATCGCTGTGCTGCGTGCCGTTACTGAGTGCTCATGTGATTGTTGCAGTGGACAAGTGGCACTTCATCTCCAACATATAGGAGACGGTGACGTCGCCGAACGCCACGTGACGGTTGTGTGCCCGCAGCTCTACCCTCGCCTCGCCTCATCTCGCTCCGCCCCATTTCGCCTCATCTCATCTCACCCCGCCTCCACCGACGATTCACTGAACGCAGTTAACCCGACGCATAACGCCCCTGCACGAACGTCGCTCACGTTACTCCTGCCTCGATCGGAGGAGCCATAATCGTTAAACGAGAGGAACCGCATTCGCGCGTAATGATGTGTTTCGATATCGTGTTAGACGACAAGAGTAGTTATGATAAAATATTGCATAGTGGGTGCACTGAGGACGACGTGGGCTAACTTTCACCAAAGCTTTTACTTTTTAAAATTTAACTTGAATTGTTCTTTTTGAGTTAAACATATTTATAAAACCATTCGTTCGACAATAACATTTGTTAATAATAAAGTAGCTGTACCCCGCCACTTCATTGTGGTTGCATTGCTAACTAACGGGGAACAAAAGTGACGCGAAAAATAGATAATAAAGAATATTCGAAGCGGTTTGTTTAACGTCGAGAGCTCAATCGGTCCAATTTTCGAGTTTTTGAAGCGTACACAAACCAACTTTACATTGAGAATTATATGGATTAAAAACATCAAATAATGTTAGTGTAGGTTATGGTTTAAACAATTAGTGAGTAAGCCCCGCCGACCTCACGTACCCGCCGGCTGGTTGAGTCGTGAGCCGTCACTCTACCATTATATTATGTAAGTATTTATATGTTTTGCATAAGTGTATATTTATATAACACGATTAAAATTGTTGAACATAATAGAACTCGTTTTATTTACTCTTCAATAAGTGTTCGATTCATCCCTACTGTAATTTTGTTTTTGTACTAATGTGTGAAATAAATAATGAATGTGTTCGACATTTGTTACCTGTTGCTAGTTCATGCGCTCAAGTCAAAACTCCCTGAAAAATGTTGCGTACTATGTACAATGCATAGTACGCAACATTTTTCAGGGAGTTATGTACTCTTAATACTACTAGTAACTTCACCTAATTCTGTAATAGGTACCTTCTGTATAGAGAAATTACTGATATTCGCTTCTTCTTCTCTTCTGTGACTATCATTTACAGGGTTTTAATTTTAAAGTACCTAAATACTTTTTGAGTGCTTTTTGGCAGGAGTATAATTCATGGATTGGCGTTGACTGCGATCGTCCAGTGGTAGCGTAAGCGACTGATGTGCAGAGGTCTCGCTTTCCGGGTCGAATTAAATGTTTGTACAATCGGCACATACTTGTATCAGCGTTTCTGCGTTTTCTAAATAGAATATGTACGAATTTACAAAAAAAAAAAACATTCGGCCAATCTATCTTTCATAGTACCTACTGGCTTTGCTTAGTTTGACGCCAAGGTGACATGTGTGAAAAAAAACTAATGTCGTTAGCCATCGAAAAAAAAAGGTAACATTATGCCGCTTTTATCTGTGGTCTCTTTTAATACTTATTTTTTAGACGGTGTAATTTCATTCCAAATATTTTTGTATGGAGACCCGTTATTGTTCTTTTACAGCTCCGACACAGTGTTTTAGCTTATTTTTCCAGCTTTATAGGTATTTGCGTTTAGTAGTCGTTATGTCATGTTGCTGAGCTGATGATGGAAGGATCCTTGACCTTTTACAAGAGCTACCAATATTACCACCTAGTCAGGAGAAAGAAGTAGTTGAAGACCATTTTAAATAAAAGGAGAAAAAATCGGTACGAAATACAAAACTTGAAAGTAGTGTCTTCCGTGTCTTCTTTGGGTAAAACTAGCATGTGGGGTATATAATAAATAAATGTTGTCTGTTAATTACTTTTATTGCACTGTATTTACAAACACTCACTATTACAAACAAGAAATCACCGTATAACTCATTAGTTGCACTAGAAATTTACTTCGATGATAATTAGCTGTGTCGTAAAACAACACTGTCCCGGTTCGAGGTCTTCACACCGTCCCGTAGGGGACGTGTGGGGGCGATAAGCCCCTGCCAGCGGTGTCTACCGCTGTTTTGAGGGGTTCTTCAGTATTCACGCCGGCTCGGCGGTCTAGCCCGAGCTAGGTGAGACTCGGAGCTGGGCCTCTCCATACTTGGAGGCAAAAAGGAGGAGACCACTTCTACAACTCGCCGGGGCGTCGGTGACGTTGACAGTTTGTAGAGCAGACCGGCGTGCCACACGCGGTCGAACGCCTTCTCCATGTGAGGAGTACTGCGACGGCGTCTTCGCGCTCATTTCGGCGATCCCGTGCTGTACTCTCGACAGCTGTAATGTGGTACTATGTTCAGACCGGAAACCGTGTTGTTGTGGTCTGGTGGTAATGTACGGGGTAAGGTGGCGCGACAATAGTTGTTCGGACACCTCTGAGGTGGTGGGAAGCAAGGTGATCGGCCGATAGCTCTCCGGCTTCAATACATTCTTCCCCGGCTTTGGGATTAGGATGATTGTCCTGTGCGCGTTATGCCACTAAATAGGCGCGCCAGTGCGCAGCGCTGTGTTAGTGACGCCGTCTGCGCCCGGGGCCTTTTTGGGCTTGGTCCGGCGTATAGCGGTCTTCACCGCTGCCGGGGAGAAGAAAATGTGAACCTCTTCGGGAGCTATCGGCGTAGCGAAGTACTCTCGAAGGTGTTGTTCAATTGTTTTGGTATGCTCCTCGTCCGCGGTCGGGTTCGGTCTAAACTGGCGTTCGAAGTGTTCGGCGAAGATCTCGGCGCGGTCTACTGCTCGGTATTTAGGGGTCCAGTCTGCGTGTAGTAGTGGGCGCACCGGGGCTTGGGTGTTGGTGAGGCGATGGACAGAAGGCCATTCATCGGTGATGTCTATTATGTATTTGTCCCAGCTCTCGGTTGTATGAGTGTGCAACTCGGCTTTCAACCTCTCCACGAGCCGGTTCAGATGGGTTTTTAAAGTTGGGCAACGTGAGGTCTGCCACTGTCTGCGGAGGCGCCGTTTGTCGGCTATCAGCGACTTCAGATGTGCTGCCAGGGGCGGTAGGCGACCCTGTGTGTGTGTGTGCTGGGTCTGCTAGCCGACTCGAGGGCGCCCCGAATGCAGTCCCTCAGTTCGTCTGCTAGGTTCTCTACTTCGGCCGCGGAGTAGATCGGCCGAGTTGGTGTAGTGGTCGGCAGCGTCTCCTTAAAGGCGTTCCAGTAAATTTTAGGTGCCTCCGATACGACGACGAGCACGGGCTGATGATCCGACTGCAGCTCGTCGTCCAGTACCTGTTGCGTGATCTGGCAGCACCTGTCGTTATAAGTACACGATGATGTCTTACGTGTTTGGTGTTTGCACGAGCTGGTCCGGGTAGTGAGTCCGGCCTCCGGACCGGCTACTACCAGTTTTCGGGCCTCTGAACTCAGAGCGGTCTTTGAGGGGTCTGTAGGCGGCATACAGTTACAGCTGCGTGCCCGTAGGTGAAGCTTGACACCCAGCATGGCTACAGAGCTATAGGTCGCCTGGGGGACTGGTTGGTGTACGACTCTTCTTTTAACGAGTACTGCCAGGCCACGGTAGGCGGCCGCCTTCTTTTGTGGGAGGGCGGCAGCGGCGGTGGCTGGGACGATGGTGGTGAACTGGCCGGCGGATGACTTCTTCGTGCCGCGGTCGGCTTTGTTATCTTTTTAGCGTTATTATTCTCAGAATGTACTTAAATAAATTGTGTTAAATAAATAAATAAATAAAATAAAATAGCCTTTATTTACTCTGACCTTGCACAATTTGTATTACAATAAAATAAAAACAAAACTATACTAACTTTACTTAACTATATTATAATAACTTTACTTATTTCTATTTTCTGTATGTATAAAACTTAAATTTTGATATCAGTTACCAGGTCAGGTTGTCTTGCGACATAGGCCTCCTCAAGTTCCCTCCACATTTGCCTATCCATTGCTGCCCTTCTCCAACCTTTGGGCAGGTCTTTGGTATCCATGTTGAATGTTCTCTAAGTTGTTTTAAAGCTCTTTTGATTCCTCCGGTTTTGTTTATTTGTTCTCTAATGATATTAAGTCGATTGTATTGTCTATGGTTTCTGATGGCTTTTGAAATTTCTTTACTAATCTTAGCTATTTGTGTACGATTTTCTTTTCTGTTTATCATCATTTCTTTCCTTTGGTTTATTTTTAATCTGGCTTCGTCACCGAGTTTGTCACTTTTATCTCTTGTTTTAAATTTATTTATTTTTAATAAGGCTTCTTCTAAGATGTTGTATTTTTCTTGTATATTATTTTGTTTCTCAATCAAGTTTAATAATGTTTTTAATTCATTAAGATTTTGTTCTGATATGTGTGTTATGGGCCGGCAATTTGTTCTGTGAAATTTTCTTCTTTGTATTTTTATTTCTTTGAGCGCTATTGTTCCTTTTACCATTCTATGATCTGAGTTAAAGTTTAGATTTGAGACCACGCTGACGTTGTTAAAAATCTTGGGCATATTGGTAATTATAAAATCTATCTCATTTCTGTCATTGCCATTTGGAGACATCCACGTCCATTTCCTACCTTTATTCTTGGGAAAAAAGGTGTTCATTACTCTCAAGTTATGTTCGAAACAAAAATTTATCATACGTTGCCCATTGTCTGTTCTCTTTCCCTGGCCATATTTACCTATGATGAACTCGCCTTTATCTAATTTGGCTCCTATTTGACCATTAAAGTCCCCCATCAATATGATGTTCCTGTTTAGTTTCTGCATTGTCTTGGTGAGACTATTATAAAATATATCCTTTTCCTTTTCCGTTGCTTGATCTGTTGGGGAATATACTTGCATTATTGAGAATGGGTTTCTGAAGCCAGGTAAATTAATATTTAGGATTCCTATTCTATCCGATATACCATCAAATTCTTCTATGTATTGTTTAAAGTCTCTTTTAACTAAAAATCCTATTCCATGCTTTCCTTGAATCTCTCCTTTGTAATAGAATATAAAATCTTTGAATTCTTTTATTTCTTCTCCAGATCTTCTAACTTCACAGAGTCCCAGTATGTCCCATCTAATATCTTTCAATGCTTCCTCAAGTTCGATGAGTCTTTCCTCTGTTCTTAATGTTCTTACGTTAATAGTTGCTATTTGTATTTTGTTTATATTGTTTTTATTATTTTGGGTAGGTGTGGGGGTTTTTGAGTTGAAATTGTGTTAGGTATGTTTTAATTAATTAAAACTAATTAAAGTAATTAAAATTTAAAAAAAAAATATTTAACGAGTAATAACAAATATAGTTATTGGAAAATTATTTTCTCGCTGCAGGTGTTGCAGTGTAACGTGTTGAGGGGCCAGTTACTATTGAGGCAGGGTGCCTCAACAGTAACTGGCCTTTATACTTCAGTATTTGAATATATGTAATATATTTGAGTTAGGTATTCTTAATGTACCTATATATGGATATTGATCTGATTAAGGTCATTACCAAAGATTGGGTAAAGCCAGGGAGTTGTTGGTCACAGGGAAGCGCGCCAGCCGCGACCGCCAGCGTGCCGCGCGACGCGCCGCTATCGATCCGTCCTGGGGGCGGCGAGACGGCGCCACTCTGAAAATGTGAAAATTTGATGTTTGCTCGTAGGTGCGCGGCTATTATGTTCCAACTCAACTCACACTACGTGCCATTGTCAATGAAATTTATTTTGAACAATCCGAAACTAACGGTGGTCGACACAATCTACATGTATTTATAAATGTATTTGTGAATAATATTATTATTGCACACAAGCATACCTCACGGGTCCGTTTATACAATGCGGCGGGTGGTGTGGACGTCGATCGTTGTGTTATTAGTAATGTCTCCGTCTTTCTGTCTTTGCCTTACTTTGAAAAACTTATAAAAGAAGATAAAGAATGGAGCGGAGTGCTAAAAGACGTGGATGTGAATGTCGGACTGGTGAACGAGATTAGTATAAATGAAGTAAGATTGGCAGTAAGGAGTATGAAAAATGGAAAAGCAGTTGTCCCCGACGTTAAACCAGTGGGAGTTTGGAAGTTACTTAGTTAGTTAGTCAGTTAGTAGATTTGAGTGGCTGACTCTATTCTTCAATATGTTGTTGCATGAAGAGGTAATCGAAAAGGAACGTGTCAAATCCAACTCGCACTCACGTACTTCCAGAACCGATGTCGCCACATCTTAACACATACACAAAAGACAAACAAATAGATATAAGACTCGCACACACTTGCATAACAACGGTGAAACGTCTAATACACAAACATTGCATTTTACTCCAATGTGTGATGTGGCACCACTACAACCTCTTTCGATGTTTGAGAATCCCTGTAAACAATCCTAGGAAATGACTTAATTCTTCGAAGGTGTCAATATTTTATTTTTATATTAAAATGGATTACAAGTAGTAGTAGAAAACCATAAATATATACTTTATAATATTTTAGGAGGAATTATACTTATAAATAAATGGTATCTATTCTTTAAAATTAATTCAGATTACAGCGTACACTTATATCCAAGTTTTGGCGCCGATTAATTACTGTAGATGAAACTTGGATTCACCATTATACTCCCGAAACAAAAATACAGTCGAAACAGTGGACTGCAAAAGGGGGCACCGTCTCCAAAAAAGGCAAAAACTGTTTCTCCGGATGGGAAAGTGATGGCGAATGTTTTTTGGGATAGTCATAGAGTTATTTTGATCGATTATCTCTAAAAAGGAAAAACCATTACATGAGCATACTACGCATCACTACTTGACAAGCTGAAGGCAGAACTTGCGGAAAAACGGCCACATTTGCAGAAAAATAAAATCCTGTTTAACCAAGACAACGCACCGTCTCCCAGCGGTTGCCATGGCTACAAGGAGACTAAGTTGAAAAATAAAAAATCAAAATCTGAAAAAAGATCTTGTATCTTTGTTAGGTCAGAAACTTTTCAGACCACCCTCGTATCAACTGCCAGGTAGTCCTTGCAGTTGATATTAGCAACAACTCTACGAAATGAGTTTATTGACCCGTAAAATGAAGAAAATTATTTAATAAGTGCCTTTTTTAACGCATTTTTATCGCATTTTTGCAAAATAATTTAAACGGATATCCATGTACTTTTCCAAAACGCATTTAATCAATTAAACTATGTGGTTATTAAGAGGTGATTGGTGATACTGATGATACTGAATAGCCGAAAACATATTTTTACAAATAAAATGACTCATGGCTCTCACAAGAAAGTGATCCCTGAATGTTTGTTTTTTTACTATCTTGATCTTATCCAAATATTGGGTTTTCAAAATAATTGCAGCTTTCAAACATATAGTTATAACATCTGCACTTGGAATTATTAGGCCACCATTGTCTACCAGTAATATTCATCAATTTTTCTTTAACATCAGGATCTTTCGGGCATCTAGAAATTAATTATAATTAAGTGATTATAAATAATGATATACCTAATTATTAATGCTTCCTAAACAGATAATATTTTATTTACATTTATCATCATGCCAAACATTTATTGACTTTAATACTGTTAAATAAAAGACAAGTGTACTCGACTGCGTGTATTGCAAGACCAAATACAAACTACCTACAAACTACATATATAACACCTCCACACCTAATAAACACATTTATTTATACTATAACAATTACGCAATAAACAGAAACACTTGAGAATATTTAAAACGACATAATATACAATATTTATATAACTACAAACATGAACAAACAGTATACGAGTATACTTATTATCCACGATATCAATTTCTATACCATAGTGTGTGAGATATTTGAAGCTATTAGTATTAAAAAACTCCATCGTTCCCATATCTCACTGGTGGTTTTCGAATCCGCTTTCTCAATTGAACTTCATTACTGGGCTGAGAAACATTTGCTGACACACTAGGCGTGGCTACCACTGAATCCCGACAAACACTTAAAGTACTGGGATCGCAGCTGTTCGCAGCCGAGGTAGACAACTCATCCGGTAATGGAATACTCAATGAGCTACGAGAAGGCTTACTAATATGAAAAGGTTCCTCCAAACATGGCGCATGGTGAGAAGGCCTACTAATCGCTTCTCCCGGGAATCTACTCCTCAGTTGATCCGCATGTCTATGTACCTCGGTTCGAAACTTATACTTAATGACTTCATCTGTATGACCTAAACCTTTCTAACTACACCAGGTGACCATTTAATACTGCTACCGAAGTTCCTATACCAAACCTCACCATTACAATCAAACGATCTATGCTATGTTAACACACATTCTAAAGAAGGATCAAAGTGCGATAATGCACAAGCGCGGCACAATTTCTCTTTAATTTCATTAAATACTTTATTTTCATCCCATCCTCGTCGCCAAAGTTAAATAAAAGACAAAGTGTACTCGACTGCGTGTATTGCAGGACTAAATACAAAGTTACCTACAAGTTAAGTTAAGTTACATATACATATAACAAATACAATAACTTATGTTTTAATTTAATATACAATAATTAAATTTCAATGAAATTTTTGTGCAATTAATATTAAGAATATGTTACGTGCATACATCGTTTAGTTTATTTACATTCGAAAATTTGAAAAATATATCGACTTACCGATGTTTTTACAACCCATTATGCTGCAGTTCACACATACACACTGCGGCGAGTCAAGGTCAAGCGTCTATGCGACTTCTAGTGTCTTATTATTACGATTTCTATGCTCTGATCGGATGGGAGCTAGACCAAAAAATGTGTAACAAGACTTTTTTACGACACTTTTTTGCTATAGTACGCATGCACTTGCTTTGATTTTTTTGACTAAGCAACGGATTTTAATGCAGTTTTCACCAATAGAGAGAGTGATTCAAGAGGAAGGTTTATATGTATAAAACATGCATATGATAGTAGAGAAAATCCGAGAATTTCAAAGATTTCTGATAAAAAAACATGTTTTTGTGCGCTTTCTTTGCAAATGCTGGCTAAACCTTACGAGATAAATAATGTACTATGGAATTGTATATCTTAAAAAGATCTACAAAAAAGTCCGCGATGGTAAGTCTATCTCCTAAGGATAAAACACAGTAACTATTTTTGTCTTTTAAATTTTACAAATTAGCTTATGGTTTATTTACGAAGCTACTTTAAAGAATACATTCTTATTCTTTATCCGATTAAATACGTTAGATACGTTGTGTATTTAATTTAGAGTAAAATTGCTCTTTACATATCCTGCAAATAAATATCTTATAAGATATTAGAAGTTTAAAATATGGGAGCTAAGTGGCCGCTCGTCGGCGCGTTCACCGTCGCGGCGTCGGGCCCGGCAAGAACGGAGCCGCATTATTACTAGTGATCCGCCCGGCTTCGCGCGTATATAATGTAGATGCTACTAATACCACTAAAGTGGTGTTAGTGTGGAGTAATTAATTATGCTATTGTTATGATAGGACTTTACAACAGGACAGAAATAAATAAATATTTATTTATTTAGGACAACTTACAAAACATACACTAATACATAGTTTACAAACATGTTTTACAAATATGTGCTGAGTGCTGTCTTAGTTACAAGTTGCCACGGCATGGTACGGGACAGTTACATCTAAGATTATATCATATAAAGATATGCAGTATTTATAGGCCCGCTGCGATACTGCCTGCCGCTGCCGCCCGGGACGATAAAAGATAAAAATGGTTACTGTGGGTTATCCTTAGGAGATAGCCAAGTACCCTCTATGTTCCACTGTATGTTTTTTTTATGAATGTTCACCGATTACTCCGGCAATTGTTAACCGATTTCCAAATTGTTTTTGGAACGAAGTTCCTTATCGCGCGTTGTGAAAGGGGGCCAGACGGAAAAAATTCGTACGAAAATTTGGAACGACACTTTTTTATTAATATAAATTGACGTCTAACTGTGGATACCATACATTAAATTTGCTTTAACGTTCGCCAACGTCCAAACCATGTTGAATACACCGGTTCTCGTCCGATCACCGAAGTTAAGCAACATCGGGCGTGGTTAGTACTTGGATGGGTGACCGCCTGGGAATACCACGTGATGTTGGCTTTTTGCTCTTTATTTTCGTGTCATCTTGTCAGACATTCAGCGCCATCTATCGAATAGATAGGAAATCATTTCGCAAGGAGATTTTACCAATGTATAAATTGTTTTAATTGTTTTTAATATGTAGGTAATAGCCGCTTTCATAGATGGCGTTGTAATTAAAATCGTGTCAAATCAGTTTTACTCGATCGTCACAACTTCGTTCCTATCGGGTGTCCCACGACACCACACGGCTTTTTTTATTAGAAAGAGCACAGTCCTGAGGTAGTCTTATTGTCATGAAGTCAAGATCTGATGAGGGAAATCGAGGGCAACCCTCAAATTTTTTAGGCCCGTGTTATGTGTTTCAAATATTTTCTAAAGCTATTCTAGTATTTGCGTCTGGTAGTCATTATCTCGTGTTGATGAGCTGATGATTGAAGGTACAACTCCTAAACGGTTAGGAGTTTTAGGATAGTTCTTTAAATATCATATGTATGTTTAGACTTGTATTCTTTCAAGTCATTCAGGTGAGCTGATGGTGGAAGATAAAACTCCTTAACGGTTAGGAGTTAGATGATACTTGATAGTTTGACTGCATGGATGGCATAGTGGTTTAAACGGTCGGCGG